GGGGGGGGGGGTAGTGGGGTGTCATAAATGTTAGACCTGGAAGTAAAAAATGCCTCCTGATAATCAAAAGACAGAAAAAATAAACGTAGGATGACAAATAAACCCTGAACAGATCAGATATATACAACATACATGAATATTGTGATGTTCTGTATATATATAATGTGTGTGTGTGTGTGTGTGTGTGTGTGTGTTATCTAAATTAAGAATTGTATAGGAATCACACCTTTTTTACATTCTTAAAAATTTGGATAAAAAGGGACTTTGTGACTAGCTCTACAAATAAAAAAAAAAATATCCACAAGACTGCTTGTTACAAGGATTGAGAGACAGCAGGGTTGATTTACTAAGGGAATAGAGACTCTTCACTTAGCAAACTGAATGTTTCCTCAACTTAGGCTGGGTTCACACCTAGGCGTTTTTCCGCGCTTTCATACTCGCGGAAAAACGCTCAAACAGGGAAATGCCATTATTTTCAATGTGCATGGTTCCCATCTGGGCGGTTTTCCGCGAGTACGAACGTGCGGGAAACCGCCCTACGCCCAAAGAAGTACATGTACTTCTTTGGGGCGTTTTGGTCGGGCGGTTCCATTGGGATACAGCCAAGTATCCCTCAGAAACGCGCGTTTTTTTTTACCGCAAATCGCGGTAAAAAAACCATGCGAAAAACGTGCATATTCAATCCGCCTAGGTGTGAACCCAGCCTAAAAGTGACAAAGTATTTATTTTTTTATTTCCCTCCCTCCCCCCAATGTTAAAGTCAGCACTTACCTTGATGTCTATGATGTCTCTTAATCCGATCTTCCTCTTCTTTCCTGATGTCTTCATCTGTCCCTCCCGCGGTGCGGCGGCTCTCCTATCCAGCGCTGACTCCTCTCTGCTTGCTGGCCCTTCTGATCCCACGGTGTCTGCATGCGGGTGCACACGTCCATAGACTTACCTTGCGTCTCTGCTCGTCTCCTGGCCGAGAATCCGAACTGCACATGCGCCCGCCCCAAGATGCTTTGCGGCCGCCGGAGCAGTTTCGTTTTCTCGGACTGGAGCGCGCAGTGAAAGCAAGGTAAGTTTAAACCGCTCTTAAAGCGTTTTTTTTTTTCTTAAACTTTTTGCCTATATCTACTGCTTGAAATATTGTGATCATAGCGCCACCAAAATCCACTGAGACCTTTAAGGAGGTTGGGCTTCCTCCTGACAAACCTGCACCCAATTTGAAATCTTCGGCCCCCATGTGTTTCAAGATGGAGACTCTCATAGTTTAGAGTTAGGACCGCACTATAAGAGGTGCCTTGGCGCGGCTGTGCGGCTTTCACATTTTCTGCAGAAGACGTGTATCCAAACCTCTGTTATTAACCTTAGTGGTGAGACAAGTTTTTTTACATGCTGACTTGTGAGTGTGCCATGATGCCTTTCTACTGTTTAATGTTTTAAGCTCATTTCGTGTGCACCTTACTGTATAGTTGGTGACAAATTGTTGAGTGTGTTTGTCATTTGTTTTGCTATACTGAGCTTTGAGTCACGGGAGGACGCTAGTTTGTGTCCTCCCGTGACCCTGGGGAGAACTATGGGGAAAAGCACTGACCCCATAGTTCTCCTTTTAAAGGAGAACTATCAGGGGGTGCTTCTCACTCACCTCATAGTTCTAGCCGACCTGTGACAATGAGACTGTCACAGGTCGGCTCAGTAGATCGGGAGGTGAGCGAACACATACCAGGTTCACTCACCTCTCGATCCTGTCACGGCTCTCTGCCGTGACAGGGGGAGGGCTGGATTCCCCTCTCCCCGCTCCGATCTGCCAGCGCTGACTGGCGGAACGGACGGGGAGGGGGCGGGTACAGCTGTCTCTGCCTCTAGATAGGCAGAGCCAGCTGTCACTCACGCAGCTGGGCGGATCCCGTCATCTACGTCGGGATCCGCTCCGGCGTCTCAGTATACCGCGAGCTGTAGCTCGCAGTATACTGAGCTTAGGGTAATGGGAGGACGCTAGTTTGTGTCCTCCCGTTACCCTAAGGAGAACTATGGGGAAAAACACTGACCCCATAGTTCTCCTTTTAATATTTTCTTGCTTCTTACAGTGAGGAAAATTTTGTAAGCTTTCCCACTTACAGAGAAATGAAAGGTCTCTAATTTTTATCATAGGTGTATTTTAAATGATAGAGACAGAATATCAACCAAAAATCCCAAAAAACGCATGATACAAATGTTATAAATTGAGTTGCGAGGGCGATTGATGGTTATTTGGATTCCTTCCATTTGCGAATAATCGCTCCAACAGTTGTTTCCTTCTCACCAAGCTTCTTGCTGATAGTCTTGTAGCCAATTCCAGCCTTGTGCAGGTCTACAATCTTGTCCCTAACATTCTTTGATGGTCTTGCCCATGGTGGTAAGGTTTGAATGGAAGAAAGAGATTCTCTGGACAGGTGTCTTTCAAATCAGCCAATGTGATTTGTCTGGATTTTTTTTCTCATTTTGTCTCTCATAGTTGAGGTCTACCTATGATGCCAATTACAGGCCTCTCTCATCTTTTTAAGTGGGAGAACTTGCACAATTGGTGGCTGACTAAATACTTTTTTGCCCCACTGTACATAACAAGTTGTCGTGAGGAGCACCTTCTTAAATTGACAGGACTAATCTGTGTACCACATAGCCAGTCTGTGGGAGGAGCCAGAATTATTATTGGTTGGTAGGGGATCAAATACTTATTTTACTCACTGAACTGCAACTGGATTTATAACATTTGTATCATGTGTTTTTCTGGATTTTTGGTTGATATTCTGTCTCTATCATTGAAAAAACACATATGATAAAAATTATAGACCTTTCATTTCTTTCTAAGCAGTCAAACTTACAAAATCTGCAGTGGATCAAATAATTATTTTCCACACTGTATATGTGATACTGAAGATCTTCCTGCCGTAATTCTGGACTTTCTTTCCAGTCAGGGATTACGGCTGTTCCTGTCCTCTTGTGTTTCTGTAGAATTCTCCATTAAATTACCAACCCTTGTTGGATTATTATATATGTGGTGTTGATACTAGATACTGTGTCTTTTTCAAGTTTAGTTGAATTGTGTGTTTTTTTTCTTTCATAAACTACATATAGGTAATTGAGGTCAAAAGTGTTTTTGGGTTTGTGTTGCCTGATAACGCACTAGGGAACTGTGCCATGTACTTTGTTTTCAAAGGCTTGCATGAAGTGCTGATAAGTGACTTAACAGTTTGTACCGCAGTCATGGACCTGATGTTACTATGCAAACATGGATACACTTTGTACTCTTGTTGTATTTGTAAAGCCTTGGTTTTAAATATTTCACTTGAATCCCAAACTCCAAGAAAACCTTATTTTGTATCTTTTTAAATAAAAGGGTAAATTGTGTATTTTATATGTGTAGTGTGTCAATGCTACCACCAGATGGCAGTATGTGCCACAACAAGAGGGGGACTGGAGTGCATAGTTCAGAACAATGGTATGTAGCAATAACTATTAGAAAACCATTGAGAATGTAGGAAAAAAAAAAAAAAACATTATTAAACTGAAGAGGCCAATATGTCTGCTGCAAAATGATTTTCAGGAATTGAATTGGTCAACTAAACGTGAGATTGTAGTCCATCACGTGAGTGAGCTTGGAGCGGTGGCTACTTTACAACACACACAGGGACCATGGGGAACAAAAGTAGCCACTCTCCAGAAGGAAGGACAGTGTCAGCATGAATTCAGAGATGATTTGAGGATCTACAGATATTTAACTCCTGAGTTTAGTGTCACTCAAATTTACTTAGTGGCCCCAGGGTCACTTAAAAAAGATCATGTATACTTACCTTTCCGGTGACCAGTGGCTTCACACGCTACCACTTTGCTGCTCCCCCACAGGTTTTGTTTTTTTTAATCTGCCACCCCCCACTGCACCCTGTTGTTTCTTCTGCTGTACCATTGCTGGTTTAAAAAAAATGTACAAAAACTTGCTGCAATACTCTTTACAATGCAAAGGTGTCCCCCACAGTACTTAGTTACTGCCACAAGATCTCCTCAGTCTTAACAGTTGATTCATTACCGAACATCATTCAACATTGAAGACTGAGGACATCCACTGTTTTTTTGGATTGCTAGCTTCTGGAACCCTGCCACTGTGAGCAACAGTGACTGATATGGGGAATGTGTGAGGAACAAATAAAGGAGAGGTAAAGGAAGATGTCTTTTTACTTTATAAAGTTGATATAGTGCCTAGAACTTGGATTTAGGACCTGTTTAGACTGTCACACAGGACTCTTTACTGAAATGTAATATATTGCAGCTTACTAGCCGGTAGATAAGGTGGACTGTCTGTAACTGACACTCTATTCACAGCCTTTTAAACTAGAGACAGAGTGGGGGGCAGGTATTCTGACAGCTCGGGTAGCTGGCTGTCAAAATACAATAGCATGGATGGAAGAATCAAGCGTCTTCTTCAGCCTGCAGGGCTTTACAGTATAGTATATTTGCAGAATATTGTGCATAATCTGCACAAGTAAACACATGGGTGGGGGGGATTTACTAAACCCGCAGACAGCATCTGGAGCAACTGTGCATAGAAACCAATCAGCTTCTATCTTCAGATTATTCAGGTAAACTTTGAAAATGAAAGCTAGACAATGATTGGTTGCCAGGCACAACTGTTCCAGTCCTAGTAAGTTCCCTTCATTAGGTTTTCAGTACAGAGCAATGCAAAATATTTTCAAACACCACAGGAAGCGATCTACTCCGGAAATTTATTATCTGAAATATTAAGCCAGTCCCTTCAGGAATGCTCCACTGTCTCTCCCCTTTTTTGGGGGGCAGAGTTATGAAGCAAGCTACTGACAGAACTCAGTGCAATTCTAGTAGAAATCAGGTTGCCTCTTGTAAATGAAGAGTTGTGGTTTAAGTTTTTTTTTTTTTTGTGCACTTGGATCTAGAATCTTGAGCAGCCAACTTTAAAAGTTATGCAATGATCTGGCCGTTATTTACTTAAAGTAGAACTATGGGTTCCCAGAAAGAAATATTTGCTGCAGCACTTCATTGTAAGTGTTTCTGCATTTGCAGTTCTGCCTTAAGCTGGCCATACACACTGGGGGGAATTTATCAAAACTGGAGCAGTTCTGCACGGCAACCAATCAGCTTCTCCGTCTCATTTCCAAATCTTACCTGAGCAAACTGAAGAGAGATGCTGATTGGTTGCCATGGGCAACTGCTCCAGATTTTGAATGCTCCAGTTTTGATAAATTCCCCGCAATTAATTTTTTAGTTTTTTAGGGGGGGTTTGCCCTGCAGGCACAATTTCTCCAATCATGCTAAACAGCGTGGATGGTGGAATCTTCCCTGTTGAGCTATTGTAATACATGCAGTCATGTTCAGCTGAGGATGTTTGGCCTGGCTCCGCCGATCAAAGTCAATTAAAAAAGACTTATGTCGAATGGAGGGGTGACGACAGGACATCTCCACTGCATCCCTTGTCCTGCACTGCTCACCTCTGCACTCCCCGCACCTCTCTTCCACCACTGCACTACCCAAACACCTGCACCACTACTGAAGCCCCCCTCAGGCCTGTTCCATCACTGCACCCCTCACACATCTCTTACACAGCTGTACCCTCAGCACACCTTTGCCACCACTCTACACACCTGTTGCACCGTTTTAAATCCCGCCACATCTGTTTTTTCATCACTGCACCTGCACACACAGTGCACCACCACGGTACCCCCTTCATACCTGTTCCTCCACCACCACCACTGTACCCCCTGCATACCTGTTCCACCACCGCTGTACCCCCGCTGCCCATCTGTTCCACCACCGCTGTACCCCCCTGCCCACCTGTTCCACCACCGCTGTACCCCCCTGCCCACCTGTTCCTCCACCACTATACCCACCTACACACATGCTGCATCACTGCACCCCCTGTGCATCAGTTCTACCGCTGCTCTTCCTGCCTGCACACCTCTGTTCCCCTAAAATCAGCTACACCTTAAGTGCTGGACGGATTTCTTACAGCTGTGTGGTGGGGGAAGAGCAGTGGGCTGTTGCAGTTTAGGGGCTCCTGCTAGTAACGGCACTGGGAGGAAGTGTCCTCAGTGCAAGAGGGGCAGTAGGTGCCACTGAAAAAGCCAATGTGTGCCTGCCTTGGCACGCATGTCTGGAGTTGCCAACCCCTGCTTTGGCTGTACCTAAAGTACAAAAATGTAACATTTTGCAGTTACCATTTCTTAAATTGGGTGGTTGCAGTGGTTTTATTTTTCAGACTTTTTTCCTTTCTCTTCTACTGGTGGTTCTGTCACTAATACACCCCTGTTCTAGGTGACGATGTTCATCCACTGTACTGTATCTGTGGAGGAGCAGCCTTGTCGCCCTAGGCTGCTCGCTTTTCATTTGGACTATGAAACACTTCTCGCAATATAAATAAACCTTCTCCATTTTATAACCAAAATACAGTTATATATTTTTCTACTTTGTTTTTCAGATCTGACGTTATATCATGGCTTCCTGCCTCGGTTTCCTTTGTGGGCATTATTTATGCTGGTTCCAGGGCATTGTCAAGACTGGTATCTATAACAAATAAATCTTTGCTTTGTTTTTTCCCCTGGTTACCAGAGGTTAAAGCTGGTTTTCATAATCTCATATACCTTCCATTTCTTTCATCTCTGTTGCTTAACGTAAAGGCATTGTCTGGCTGCTGGGATGTTGCCAGCAGGAATGTACTTTATGTTATGAACTTTATTAATGTCTTTTTTAGGGGCTCTGCTTGTCTCTAGTGTTTACTCCAAGTTATATGGACACTTACATACAATATCAATGTTTGCTTTATGTAAAAGCAATGACTTTTGTTCATTTTCTTTTTCCTCAATTAAAAGGACTTTTTTAGGATTCTGTAGAATGTGAAAAGTCTTCTTTAATGGTGGCTAAGTGCAAGTACAATAAAGGAAAGCTTCAGACAAATTTAAAAAAATAACTACTTCAGGACAGGACATTTTTTGATGGTGGGTGGTCTTGTAGTAGTTAAATACAACAAAATGTTTAAGGATTAAAGTATTCAGAATTAGCACAGTTTAGGTTTTTGCTTGTTAGTTTTACTGTGTGCCTGGAGTTCTCCTTTTAAATCTGTTTTCTGTCCCCTCTGTGAGCCTTGTTTGAGAGCTCACTTTGTGTACCGGGCATATTGGGTATTCAATTTATAGATTATGTGTTAATAGTCCTCACTACAGTGTATAAGCAGAATGTAAATCTATAACGTTTTCTATTCTTGAGATTTTCAGCGCAAAGCCTATATTGTGCTCAAAGCTAGTGATAAATAAATCCCCTTTGCCATGGCTTGTGCTGCTTTACTGTGAAAACGCTATTGAGTATCTAAGAGGCAAAGTCTGATAACGCCTCACGTGTGAGGCAGCAGACTTTACGTTTATTTCATCATTTGTTCTGTCTTGGAAGCTGCCGACGCACGCCTTTTTAAAGTAATGAGAGGAAGGAAACCTTTTCCTCTTTTTTTTTTTTAATTCAGCACTGTTCCGGCTCCGAATACTGCAGCGACTGTTCACCAGACAGCGGCACTACAAAATATACATATGTTGGAGGACCTTGATTTTTGGTCACTAGTAAAGATGAGATCAAATGCCTTGATCAGTACAAGCAGTACACCAGGAGAATTTAGTTGAAAAATGTTTTTATAATAGTTAGTGGGTCATAATTGAAGTTTGTTTTTGACCGTAGAGACAAGGAAAAATCAAAGGCGCAGGATAGAAAATGTTTCTTGTTTCTTATCTGAAGAAACAATATTTTAAGCATAAATATAATCTCCATTCACTAATAAAAAATTGCAAATATTCTAATGTGCTAGGTACAAAACCTATTTAATATGTCTGGGATTCCATCTCAAGTAGCAGGTCTGGATGAAATTTTTAAGGGCTTTTGACCAAAGTAGTTAACTCAATATTGGCATCATTGAATGTTTAGCTAAAGGTTTGGCCAGCTTTATCCTCTAAAGTAGGGGTAACCAAACTTTGGCCCTCCAGCTGTTACAGTCCCATACAGAGGCGTATTTACAACAAATTGTTGTCACTGGTTGCCAGGAGCTGGGCAGGATGCCAGCCAGAACGTCTCAGGTTGCCAAGAGCTGGGCAGGGAGATGCGTAAGGGCCATACACATCTCTTGGCAACTTGGGAAGCTCTGGCCGGTGTCTTGCCTGCATACACATCTCTGGTTGAACGTTCATTGACCCACGGAGCTGCGCTTCCCCCTTCAAGTGGTGCCCCCTCAATGTGCCGTACCCTGGATATCACCACTTGTCCCATAAGGTATTTCAAGACTCTGGCAGCCATAGGCATGACTCCTAGAGGCAGATGCATAATGGGATTGGTAGTTGTACTACAGCCGGAGTGCCAAAGTTTGGCTACCCCTACACTAAAGTGAACCTGTTTGATATTTGGTGACATTACATTCCACAGACATAAAGGTTTTCTTGTGCTCTGTCTCAGGCATATGAGGTTTTAAGCAGTTTTCTTTGTGATTGGAAACATTTGCAACAGATAAATAAAATACATTTCAAAATGCGTGAGTACTACAAAAAGATACTACCACCTGTATTAATAGAATTTTGCTGTGCATACCAGTGAGCCTTTGGTGGTGCTGGCAAGTTGTCCTCTCTTCTAAGACCCTGGTGGGGAGACTTCACTGTAGCTTTGGGATCTACTTAGTATGTTTCCTCCAGTATTAGCAGGAACATCTCTTGCTTCCTGTTGCATTTTCTACAATACAAAGTGAATTTTAGAATCTGTCATGGAAACTGACTGCTTCATAATGGCAGGGTCAGCTGGGCAGATGTGGAAACTCAGTGGCAGAGATCTTTCTTGTGCTGGTCTTCACAGAAGATGGAAGAAGCCAGCAATGGTGCCAGTTTGCCATTAGCTGCCCAGAACTAAAATATTAGTTGTGGGTGCACCTATTAATGCAATTTGTGCACATTCTTATTGTTAGTATTAGCTTTGGCTAAAACATAAAAGGGTTTTTAAAAAAAGAACTAAAAATCTATTTTGTATTATTATTATTTTAGTAACTGTGTGCTCTTTCTTCTCTGCAGCCCATTCCTGTTTTTCTGACTTTACACAATGCAGCAGAAGCTGTGACCTATGGAGTTCAGAGAGTGTTCTTCAGAGAGGTGGGGTATTCTGAAAGCTTTGATTCACATCCCTTTATCATTGGTCTGACTGTTTCACTCCCTAAAGGTATCTATAGTTATAGCATGGTGCATGTATCAGCTGTCATACCTGTCTGCTGTAGGCAGAATCAAATAGGTTCTTACACATTCTTCACCTAGTAAGGCAGAGTTCCTTGTTCTGTTGCTACAGACATAGGTATCACAGTGTCATTTTGGACCTGGAGCCCTCATTACTGTCCCACTACATGGCCAGCCCCTTCTTTTAACTTGGGCATACATAGGTAGAATTGCAATCAGACCTTCATGTTGAGTTTCTGAAATGATCAATTACTGCCCCTACTTTATATTCACCCTCCCTCACTGTCCCTGTTATTACACCTGAGCCTTGCTCACATTTCTTTTTATAAAATGCATGGAAACTTCCGCCAATCTCTAGTTTTTCTGCATTGAAGTTGGTGTGCTCATCTGTACATTCGGCTCTACCTACCAAACTCACTTAATGCAGCAGTTTAGGTGTGAATTACAAATGGTGTTGTGATATCTTCTTGGAGTCACCACACTTCACCCATTTTTGTTTTGGCCAATGGAAAGCTGTATCATCTTTGACCTCATATGTCATAGTCCTTTATTTGCTTCATGGTTTTTCTTTTTGTTGCGTTCAGAGCTCCCAGTCCATGAAAATGTTTGTTCCCCAGTTTTTTCCCCAGACTGCTTCCAACAGTTCTTGTAATGGGCAAGAGGAGTTGTAGAGGTTCTTTTGGCCCTCAATGGGTGGATGAAAGTGTCCAAATGTGCCAAGGCCTTCCAACTGCTCGTCCTATACACTTGCTCACAAAAGTCTTGTAGTAAATACAACCATGCTTAGGAACAGTGCTAGAACAACACGGCCGATCCGATTGGGTCCTCCTGTCAGTTTTTCAGACGGACCCGATCGGATGCCCTATGCAAGTCTATGGCTGGGTTCGGAGACATAGACGGATCAGAGATCCGTTTCGCTGAATCGCGCTGGATCAGTGGTAATCTGATGTAAATGGACACATGGCTGTTTACATCCGATTTCCCATAGACAGACATGGGGTCCAGCAGTTCCTGTTTTTTCTTCCATCGCAAAGTAAAGGATAAAACTGTTCGGACCTGGATGTCACAGCGGTGACATCCGCTCCGTACTGCTGTACTGCTGTGATCAGGAGAGGAAGTCTGTGTGTGACCGACCCATTAGATTTTTTTACACCACTAAGGCTGGGTTCACACCTAGGCGGATTGAATATGCACGTTTTTCGCGCGGTTTTTTAACCGCGATTCGCGGTAAAACACACCGCTCGAAAAACGCGCGTTTCCGAGGGATACTTGGCTGTATCCCAATGGAACCGCCCGACCAAAACGCCCCAAAGAAGTACATGTACTTCTTTGGACGTAGGGCGGTTTCCCGCACGTTCGTACTCGCGGAAAACCGCCCAGATGGGAACCATGCACATTGAAAATAATGGCATTTCCCTGTTTGAGCGTTTTTCCGCGAGTATGAAAGCGCGGAAAAACGCCTAGGTGTGAACCCAGCGTAACCGAAGGCAAAACTGTAGACAAACTGCTAAATTCATATTTGAAATACAGTTGTATGAAATATTTAACTGAACAATTTTGTTTTCGGGCATACCAGTCTGACAACACAACCAGGGAAGTGACCTCAAATTCTTCTCTTGCAGTTGAGCCATACACCTTGGTCATCGATGTGCTCCAGCCTGTGACTGGACAATGAAGGATCAGTAACTTCACTAATGCAGGGGCTATATAAAATATATTTATGAATTGTATTTAGAAGCTGTAATGTCTGGGCAAAGTTTTGTAGAGAAACCTGACAAATTGTGTACATTTCCCTAACTATTCAGATTCTAAGCAACAGGCAGCAGATATTCCCTAAAGAGAGTGAATAACTAAGGCAATAAAAAACTGACAGGTCTTCTAATCCCTCCCCACTCTAATTAGAATTTTTTAAAAAAAAATAAGCTTTAGTTGAACTTTAGGATGCTTACTTTTTGATTTGGCCTATCTGTAGTTCTATAATATAACCTTGTATATTGTATTTGGATTGTGTGTGGATGTTTATGTGGCAAAACTGTCTATTACGTTTTTTTCTGTTTACGTTTAGAATAACAAAATGTTATCTTTTTTATTTTTAGCAAAGCTCTTACACAAGAACCTGCAGGTAAAAAAAATTAAACATTTTTCTTTTATCTGTTGTTGGGTGTTTGGTTTGTATTTTAAAGAATAACTGTGTCTGTTTGTTTGATAACTGTACACAAGTGCCCACCAGGACTGAGAACAAGGATGCCATCAGCGACCCTTTAAGTTTTTTTTTTTATTACAGTAGATTCACTTTTTAGCCGAGGGAGGGATCTGAATGAGGAACATCCAATATAGTCAGTAGGCCTCTTTTATAGTACTTTTGTTTATATTGATGTTTGTTCTTTTTCCCCTTCCTAATGTCACCTCCCCACATTTAGAAGTTTGCCTGCAGTATCACTGCCAATACCTCTGCATTCTATATCTACCTAAATTTCAGATCAGCGCTATGTATTCCTTCAATATGACGTCTGACTCGGAAATATACATTTTCGGGAACTTTTTACTTTTTTTTTTTTTTAAGAACTGCACAGTGTCCAATATGTCCTTTTTAAAACATATTTTATAATCTAAATACAAATGTTGTCTGCGGTTATTAATAAATTGTGCACATAATGTTAAACTATCAGCATATACTTAATAGTACAACATAAATGACCTGTTAGGCCCCATTCACAACTCCATTCACAACTGAGTGATTTGAAGTGCAATTTTTTTTTTTTTTTAATTCTTTATTTCAAAGTTTTCAAAAGTTTTCCGTCTTTTCCAAACAAAAGAGAAGGACAGATATATGTAATACAGATAAAACCGATGATAAACAGTGTGATACATAAACATTGCAGCAGCATATTCTGTGGTTGTAATGTCTTCATCGTTTGGAGCTTATACGACAGCCATTTGTCAGGTAACTATCTCGACTTCCAGCAGATTATACTCAGGAAGGGTAGTCATATACACATATAAGTATACGGGGATCGTGTGGAAACAATAAGTAGGTGTATCTGAAGGTGGAGGGAGTCGCCGCGTGCCGTCGCGGGCCCAGGTATTACCAAAAGGCCAAGCGCCGGCACCCGCCACTCCATCCTCCACTGTCGGCCATCTAAACAGACCACAGGGATATTACCAAAGAGGAAGGGGGGTGTGGGGTCAGGTTCTAGAAAGGGAGGGGGTATTTGATACTAAGATTTGGAGAAGGAGGGAGAGGGGCAGGCGGGGTAGAGGAGCTGTGAAGAGGTACGGGGAGGGATAGGGCTGGAATAAGGATAGGTGACCTGGGGGTCAGGCACTAGTTCCCGGACCGCCTTCTCTACCTGTTCGGTCGCGGCCTACCTCTAGGGGGGTCCCTGCAACAGGGTATTGTATTCGGTCGTCTGCGTAAAAGCGGTCCAATATGACCATGTCCTGCAGTGCTTAGCATGTTGGCCTCTTCCAGACCAGGTCCTCCATTCTCTCCACCTCAGCAACTTTATGAAGCCACATGGACACCGTGGGCGTCTGGGTCGATTTCCACCTAGCCGGGATGCAACAACGTGCTGCATTCAGGATTGAAGTGCAATTTTAAGCACTTCAGAAGTCGACACTGGGATTTCAATTATATCCAGTGGAGCCCGTTTACACTTGAGCAGAGTGCCACTTAAACCTTGACACTTAAAAAATGACATGAGTTTCTTTAGGGGCAGAAGTGCATGGTTTGGCCCCAATAGACTGAAATGGGAGTGCCTGCAAAATGTGAAAAGATCCAGGTAACACAAGTTTTAAGTGCATTTTTATGCCTAGTAACTTGCTTTCCATTGGCAAAAAATATTTTTAAAAAAACCTCTCAAGCCTGAAACACATGCAGAAATGCACAAAAACACCTATACATGCAAATACTAAAAAAAAAAGCCACAAAAACAACCACGCAGCTGAAGCGCGTGAATGGGGCCTACCACGCAGCTGAAGCGCGTGAATGGGGCCTACCACGCAGCTCAAGCCTGAATGCCTGAAATATGATACATGTTTGTTAATAGTTACTAGGTACCTGAATGCATTTTTAAGATTTACCTTCTGAGTTCAGTGTCACTTTAAGTATAAAAAAATGCAATTTCAATCTTGCTTTTCAAGTTGTGCTTGTTACAAGTTATATTTTTATGTTGCAGCGTAATACTTTTAGTGATCTCAGCGGTGTGTCTTCCATTACATGACTCTCAGGTATGTTTTTTCTCTCCTTTACCTTTTACTTTTATTCTGTAAGTTGATACATGGTTCTCTCATTAACACTCTCGCTTGTAAAAGTGTGCCCCTGTTGAATAAAGGAACAGTCGATACCAGAAAAGCTATGTAACAGTTAAAGTAGTAACTGAAGCCAAAAAAAAAATAGCGTAGAGAGAGGTTAGGACCTCTCATGTTTTTATTGTTGTCTGTGTCCCAGATTAGTTCTCTCCCATTAGTCTTGGTGACAGTTATCATTGAGGGTGAAAGAAAATCCCAAATTGTGAGTTGTCACTAGAACAGAAACAGATGGGAACTCTTCCAATGGGAACACCTGTTGTGGCTATCGAACAGGAAGTGAAGGGATATCTCAATGGGACACAGATGGCAAAAAAAAACTAACCGGGGTTGTGACCCTCTTTCTTAATCCAAAATGAAAAAAAATTGCTGGGCTTTAGTTCCACTTTAAAAGAAAAGAGTATTTTTGTGGTGTATATATTTTTTAATGATGAAAGCACACCATCAGTTGTGCATGTTTTTCTCATGTGCTGGAGGCAGAAATGCCTACTCATACTTTTCTACATATAAAAAGTGGTTGTACGGCTTCTTTTTGAGACACAGCAGAAAAAGGTATGGGGGAGCGTTACAAGGATGGGGTGCAACTTCACATCTCAACAGCCTCTGCACCTTAGTAAAATGTCAGGCAATAATTTCATTTTTGCTCAGTGATTTCAAAATGACTGTCACAGGCTGCCAACGTAGTTGTGCTTGAGTGAAGTGTCATACTTTTTTTTTTTTCTTCTTCAGGGTAAGATTACTAAAATAGTCATTTTTAAAAGTGGGTTGAAGTTTCCAGACAAGTGTCAGGTTTGCATCAACCTCCCACCCAACCTAAATGAGCTATCATTTAGTGTACTTTCACTTTTGCAGCCAAATTAGGATAGCTCCTATTTTTATTTGTTCTCATTCACATAGCATAACATGAAAACAATTGCAGCTTTCCTTTTTTAGATGCTCTTTCCTGGATTTTTCAGAACTGTTTTTTATTGTTTGGGGGGGTGTTGGGGAATTTTGTTTCAAATAATTAATCCTGTCTGTACTGTGCGCTGGCAGATCTCTATTATAACTTGTAAACTTGATGAGAAGGACTGTCCTTACAAAGGGTTAAAGACCTCAAGGCATTGTATGTTAATGAACCTTTTAAAATAAAGTCCTGTGCTTCATCTGCCCACTGCCATTTATTCTGACCAATAGAAGCTGAATGTGGTGTCCTATGTATAATACTGTATGCTCCAAAGAAACAGCTGGAAAGGTTTGATATATATTTTTGTAAAAATAATTATAAGGTAGTGGGTAGTGTTAGTAGGGGTTTCTCATATTTGACTACAAAAGGGGAAATATACTTTAATATTTACATATAAACCTATCCCTTTATACTGTAGATGTTGACCTATCTACAGTGGCAGAGCCACTCACGGCTGCACCAATTTCAAATGCATACAGTCTACAGAATCATGCAGGGAGAAGAACTCCAGGATTCTGATAAGAGGGGGATGATTTGGGGGTGAGGGGCTGGGATTGTGACCATGTTTCATGTTACACCCTAAATATAGGTGTAACAAAAAACATGGTAAAATAGATGAAGTTAGATGCAGTACAGCGCAGTGTGTGGTACTGCAGCGCACAGCGGCGGGAGGTTTGTTGGGGTGTCATTCAAATGAATGGCAACGCAACACACATGGCATACAGTAATGCATGCTAGGTGAGTGGGGTGATAGCATGCATGAAAAGAGTAATAAAGACAAAACTTTTTTTGGCTTTAGAACTCTTTTGGATCATAGGAATACATTTGCTGATGTCATCCTATGATTGAAAGCCAGCATCTAGCGGGCTACTGCCCTCTATAGACTGACAGCACAGCTGGGGAAGATCCCAACAATATTGTCAGGATCCACCCTGCTGCTAGATTGATAGCTGGCTCTGCCTCTCTAGAACTAGTTAGATATGTCG